TTTGAGAAAAATATTTCATGATATGATTTTTTCTGATATATTTTCTCTCGTATAGTGGGCGTGCAGGTTATATTTTAAACACTGTATGAACACACATAAAAACTTTTGTAAGTTTCTACTTTTATTTATACATATGCATACATATACATACATGTATATGAAGTAAATTTTCCAAAACTAGCGGTGAACTACAAAAACCTCTGTGAGTTGGCGGCAAATAAATGCAATTTGTCACCTGCAATAAAAATCATGTCGTTATTAATGCCACACGGGCCTATTTCAAACAAGTACAACAATATTTTTCACTTTTCATTTCTAGAGCAAGTAAAGGAAAGGAAATCGTTGTCAAGAATTTCAAGCCCGAATTCCAAACACATACACACACGCATACCAACAAAGCCACATACCTTTAGGCATGCTCATGAAGTAATTTGTTCGAAGCGCGCTCAATTCTTGTTTTTGCCAAGCACTGGTACTGACACTGCATGAGTTGATGAGTCGTTGACATAACAAAAAGCTACAACAACAATCATATAACATGAATACCGTCTGGGGTATTGGTAATATTATATTTGACTTGAGTATTGTTAACAACATTCGCACCTACCGACAAGCGGAACATTTTCATTTATGTACAAAAGACTGACTATATGCTGTTTGTTCAAGTCAACGGATGTCGATCGGTCGATCGGAAATCAAAGTTGACAAATTTACAGTTATGAAACAAAAGGTGACGAAGTGTAAGCGACTTGCAACAGAAACAAAATATTGAGTACGGAAAAACAGACTTTGAAATTGACAAAGAAAGTGAAGTGAAAAAGTCGACTGAAACAATATCATAGCATACAAATGATAAGGAAATCAATTTCAAAATTACATTTTAGAAAATGTTGATTTTTAAAAATTAGCCAATAGTTAAAAAATGGCTTCAAAATACAAAATTATTTAATATTTATAATAACATAGTCTGCATATCTTAAATAAAATAATTTAAGGCTACATAATGAGTCACTCCCCACATATGCTATTTCACAATTCCGAAATTCCCCTCAAGGTATCATAAAAATTTCTTCAACACGTCATTGAATATATTCAACAAATATATAATATATTTATTTAATAATATATATATGCATGTGTTTAAAAGTAAATATACACATTTAACAATTGAACGTGCACCAAAGTTCGAAAAAGGTTTGCAAGTATTTACCAAACAGCGACAACTCCCTAATTTGTCATGAATTCTATATAAAAAGAAATATTAAAAAAAGATCTCAAAGTAAAACAAGTAAGGAAGGGCTAAGTTCGGATGTAACCGAACATTTTATACTCTCGCAAAGTCAAATGGTATACTCGTTTGAGATTTCTTTGTGGATTGACTGATATTTTCGGTAGAAGGTCAACTATAGGCACTGGGGCCCACATATTTAGTACTTAGAGGCTTGAACAGTTTTGGTTCGATTTAGACAATTTTTGGCCGCAAGGTGGCATACTTTAATTGCATTATTCACGCAAAGTTTTATCCCGATATAATCATTGTTACCTGATTTGCATAGTGGAAAGTGAAAGAATCAGATGGAATTGAAAATGGTGTTACATGGGAAGTAAGCGTGGTTGTAGTCCGATTTCGCACTATGACATAGAAACATGAGAAGAACGTTATGCACCGAATTTGGTTGAAATCGGTTGAGCAGATCTCAAGATATGGGTTTTCACATAAAAGTGGGCTGTGCCACGCCCACTGTCTAATTTTGAACGCGGTTCCTTTAAAGTCATCTTATACCATCTCAGAGATAAAATTTAATGTCTCTGGCGTGTTTAGTGCTTGATTTATCGCGCTTTTAGTAGTTTTTAACAGTACCGTTATATGGGGAGTGGGCGGAGTTGCCACCCGATTTCAACTATTTTCACACCGTCAATAGAAGTGCTAAAAGCATTTGCTTCTAGTGAATTTTGTTATTATAGCATAAGCGGTTTAGGAGATATGCACATTAAACCTATTAGAGGCGGGACCACGCCCACTTTAAAAAAAAAAGGTTTTTACTGCAGATGCCCCTCCCTAATGTGATCCTGTGTACCAAATAACAGTCTTGTATCTTATTGCGGAGCTTAGTTATGGCAAGTTATTTGTTTTTGATTAATGGCGTTTTGTGGGCGTGGCAGTGGTCCGATTACGCCCATCTGCAATACCAACCGTCTCACGGTACCAAGAAACATGTCTACCAAGTTTCATAAAGATATCTCAATTTTTACTCAAGTTAGAGCTTGCACGGACGGACGGACGGACGGACGGACAGACAGTCACCCGGATTTCAACTCGTCTCTTCATCCTGATCATTTATATATATATAACCCTATATCTACCTCGATTAGTTTTAGGTGATACAAACAACCGTTAGGTGAACAAAACTATTATACTCTATAGCAACAGGTTGCGAGAGTATAAAAAGACACTCAATAGGGCTATACAAAATATTTGCCTACTTATTTTATTGTATTTATTTAGCTTACCATAAATTTATCTAACACTTGGAATGAAGATATCTTTTGAGTTACATTCCAGGTCAAAGCGCTTTAATATCAATATGCGTATATTCGTGTGTTTGTTTTACACATATGCTTCTTTTAGAGCTCATACAACACTTCTGCGTTTATCTTAATCAAGTCAAGGTCATTGCTATCACCAACAGATTTCAACAACTGATATGCTGATTGTAGACAAGAAGTTACTTAATAACTTCCTTTATCATCAGAATGGGCGTTATTAACTGATATTTATTCATTCAAAGATGCGCAGAATTTTGTAAGCGAGATGTTTTGTGCATCAGTCCAAAACGCACCGGAGAACTACATAAGAAAAAGCTGTTTAG